TGTATTTCCTCTCCAGAGCTCGTTCTCATCTGTTCAGTTATGTTGGTCTGACTACCTAGGTAGAGATATGATGAGCGAGCGATGCTATTATTCGTAGGAATCTTTCAAAAACAAGGTTAAAAGCGCCATGTAAGTGATTAGACTAAGACATGTATTTGGACATCCAGCCCGCTGATGAGTATACCCGCTCACAAGGGTTCTCAATGCTTTGAATTGGAGGTTAACATAGTCGAGAAATTTGATCATGGGTTAGCCCGCCTCAAACAGGTCTTCCTGAAACATGGCTCTTCTATGCTTTGGGTAACGGATTTGAAGGAGTGGGATTCTCTGCTGATACATGAAGAACTGATATATGGAGGAGAATAAGAGAGGGCAACAAGATGACTTGCCAGGCCATAGTGGCGTAGAACTTCTCGCGGTTACCACCTCAGTATCCGAGTCACATCCAAGTATATTCCCTCTTGTAGACTGCCGAGAACGGCTGAATATTGCACTTCAGTCTCTTTGAATCATTACTAGCCTTGAAAAAACATGTCCTGCATTGATAGGTGGCCGTTCTTGTGGCATTATCTTTAGGCGATGGTGAAAGAATGGGAACTGTTATGTGTTTATGCCCTAGCCAGCATAACGTGGCTGGGTGCAATTCACCTAGTGCAGAAATTACATTACCAAAATGAGCCAACTATAGCATACTGACCTACACTGGTTGACTATCATTGATAGTTCCAGAAGACTCGATAGTTATTACAAGTTCATTTGCTTGCTTAGACTTTACTTTCACCTTGGTTGGTGATGATATTAACAGCTTATTAAGACTTTCCCGAGGCATACAAAACATTACTTGACCGGTTGAATAGCAACCAAACTGGGGATCACGTATTGCTTTGGAGTTATAAGAATTATACAATATACGGTCTTAACGACAGTCGATCCATCACTTTTAAAGACATTAGACACTTGAAGGGATCTGCAGATACCGATGGAACTCCTTTGGATAGCCATCGAACTTGAGGCAGCCGGAGAGAAAGCATTTAAGGGAAATTTAAGGGTAAGGTAATCATGATCATATTTTAGTTAAAGGTTTAATAACCCAAGACTACTCACATTTCAACCGCAGGAAACCAGCCCAGAAGTCAAACTGTAAGGACTCAGATTATTACTTGCCAGCTACTACATAACTACTCATGTATGATTGGATCGGAAGTGTCGGTCATAACTCTGAAGGCTGTCACGCAAGAAACTTTTATAATAATTTAATAAACTCGTTAATCTCATACAGGGGGCGACGTTTGTCGTAGCATCTGCCAGTATAGTTCCCGTGCAACCCCTATTGCTTAGGACCTTAGCACAACCAAGGTATATATGTAGTGAATCTTACCGTTTTCAACTAACTAACAGTTAAGCCTTCATCTGATGTTGCAGACTAAATTGAAGCTAAAAGCTTCAATGGTATTCCCAGAAGTTCTCATTGTCAGTCCTTGCAAAACCTCGACTCTGTCTAAAAAGACACTGGACTGCGGCCTGCAGCAGCGTAGGTGGCTCTTCCGCATTCTCATGTCTGGAATACCAGGCCCTAGCCAGTCTAGGCAATCTGATCGGTTCTTGCAGTGATATCTCGAGTTTCACGTGCGTACATCCATTTGTCGCCACCTGAGAAAGGTACCATGTAGATTATAAACTAAAACAAACGCTCATTTGGGAAATCAGTGATGATAATAGCACTTCTTAAACCCAATCTCCACATTATGAATTGCTATCAGAACGCCGGAGAGTTTCCCCGCATCAGCGCGGCAGTACTGCGGAATATTGTTGAGTATCTATATCATTTACCTTTTGACGCCCGCCGTTAAAGTCAACATATCCCGGTTTCAAGACAGCACTTGTCGGCGACTTAATGACTCTTTTGTACGAGAAACTTGGAATCTTCACAAAAGGGCTGCATCCTTTTGTCAACATCAAACAAACCGTTATTGGGGGCTGTTTCTGCCTGTCAACACCTGTTTTCAACCCCGCCAGACCTTGCTATATCTGGAGTTATTGGGCAGAATCCCTCCGGGAGCAGAGCCGCGGTTTCCGCATCCTATAGTTTGTTTCTTAAGATATCGATTTCACATGTGTTCTTGTCATGCGGAGGGCTATATTTCGACAAGTTATCAACGCCGGCCAGGAACGAAACTTAACACCACCTGCGGCTCAAACACCGCGCAAGCTATATGTCTCACAGATATTGAAAATACGGCGTGTTCGTTCACGGCGTCGAATCTCGCTTTGACGAGCAAGGCCATGCCATGAGATCATTTTGGTCTGATGATGAACCAAGGCCGCCGACGCTGCTTTGTCAGAGTTTCTTCGGCTTGGCTTTTAATTTACTTGATGGGATTACTCTACGTACTTGACATCACAATGTCGAGAGACGAGATCTGAATATTCGTCCAATGAGGGAGTGGCGAGCAGCCTTCTCGAACAAACCTCACAGTTAGGTTCGTCTGCTGTGAATCGATCGACACACGATAAGCACTCAGTTGGGGGATCCGTGAGATATGCTGCCTAACCTATGGGGAAATTTCTGCCCGTTGACATACACAGCGTGTCATATTAGCTTCATCGCCGAAATTCCCCGCAAAGACACGTGTGAGAAGAGGGTCTAATCGCACACAGTGGTTGTCCACCATAGCAGTGCGCAATACCCGCCATGCTGCAACACTCAAATCCGATTAGAGCCGGAGCAGGAAACAAGAGATCGGCGGCAAACCACTCACAACCGCACATCCGCGGCCGGAGACTGCCCAAGCAGTCGGCACCTTGCGTCTCCCTCTCGATGATCCGGCAACCCGAACACCAGGAGACTCATGTCCGCGAGTGCAAGGCCGATCCCCGTTGCGTGGGGCTCTTGTCCGTGCCATGGAAATGGGAGCTAGGAGATCCCCGAGTTGCGCAATTCCGGGGACGCCTTAGTCAAGGGGGCGCAGTCATCGCTTAAGGAACTCGGTCCGCTCAGTCGACAGAGCTTTTTCAGCTCTCATGCTGATAGCGTAGCTTCCGCCCCAACACATGGCGAATTCTGCATCACGAAATGCTCCATGTATTCTATATCGTCCATTTTATTGATGGAGACGCCCTAACGATGGAGTCGACGTGATTGCATTGTCATCATTACCGGTTCGTTTTGGATACGATGTCTCTGGTCACGGCTGAACATGGCTTAGGATCTTTCCATGAGTCGCTAGTGTACGGCAGGAAGTGGATGATGAATATATTGGGGAGCTGACTGGTGTCCTCGCCACTCGTCTCGTCTCACTTGTACCACACCAAGGCATCAGCCGAAGCTCAAGCACCTGTCAAAATAGCGAGCTGCCAAGTCAAACTTTCCCCTGTTGGTCTGGCCCTCGCAAGCGACAAGCGAAAGCTTTTCAAAACAAGCTGCAAGAATGGTGAACCATTTGTCACATCCAGCGCTGAACCAAGGCCGTAGTCAAGAAACCGTCAACGCCCAGCTTCCTGTCCAGATTTGTTCAGCTGCCCATCCTAAAAGACAAAGCCCACACTCTCTGTGTTCGAAACAAACTAAATGGGTAATCAAGAGTCTAGAGAAGGGAAATGGTGGGGTTATATCGCGTCATCCGATATTGGTATAGCCATCGACAATCATACCTCATGAGACGTCGCGGCGAACTCTATTTTCATAACACCCCTGCATCCATGCCGTGCCTTACCCATGGACGCAGGGGCAGGCCCACGTCGTTTGGCCAAGGAAATGGGGGACTTGCTGGTCTTCAGTCCAGTTAGCCAGGACGTCACCCGGTCACACACACACCACGCCCACACACACATAACACTTGCATCGCGAGAACGACATACACTTTGGGTACAGAAGCACTCTGATCTCTAATGCGCGCCACCAAGTATGACATAGACTCCCTCATGCCCCGGGGTACCCTCCAGCCATTCTGTGGCCACGGCGACGTTTTACCGCAGTCGCCCATCAAGAATGATCTGCCGTGCCGTGGTGAAGCATATTCCGTAGAAATCAGGTTCCCCTTGCGCCCGTGATGGCTGTCATACGTGTAGTCTCTAGTAATCAGAAATCTCTAGAAATCCAACCGTCAAAGTCCGCCAGGTTATCGCCGAAGAACCAAGGCCGCAGAGCCCCCCCCCCCCCCCCCCCCCCCCCCCCCCCCCCCCCCCCCCCCCCCCCCCCCCTGCAGATCATTACCCTACCATGAGGCAACGGCTCCAAACGGTTCCGATTCACCAAAACCCAGGGGTTCTACCACGGTAGCATCACAGGGCGCAGCAGCACGTGGTGGTGTTCGATATGTAGCCACTTATCCGGGGGAGGAATACCGATAGGGAAACCAAAAAGAACTATACTTGTCGGTTTGGTCCGTTGGCTTGCTGGATCCAGTCTACTGGGAACCGAACTTGCCCCTCCTAAGCGGGACAGACGTCTCACGATGTTCAGCCGCTCTGCCAGTTTTAGTGTCTGCCGGTGTGCTTGTGCCGAGATGCTGGCAAAACACCGCCACTTCGGGTAGAGTGTGTGGTGGTCGAACCAAAGACTTTCATCTCAGCATTTGCCGCTGTCAACGGCCGTAGGAAACATTGTTTGCAAAGCTTACAATTTAGATGATATTGGCCGCTCAAAACATGCAGAGATCGACAATCGCTTCATACCCAGAGCGAATCCCTCTGCGAGCCATAATCGTAGTTAAACACATTTACGCTGTAAATTTGTATAAAAATGGGTTTGATTTCAAGTTTCGTAGAAGAGTAGATGTCTCATCAACCGTAAAGAGAAAAAAGTATACAGTTTAAAAAATGAAAGAAAGAGAGAGAAAAAAGAAACCCGCTATCCGAATTGAAGGTATCAACCACCACACAACCACACTCTCCTCTCCCATCCAAGTCCTGATTCTGTGATTTTTTTTTTTTTTTTTGGGTAGATCAACTTTTTCCTCCACATTGCCTCACACCTCCCCCGAGAAGCAATCCCCTTTACGCTATGGCAGCTCGTACAAACTCTTCTTTCTCCCCTTTGGCTCAGACACAACGAGCGTCTCCTTGCCATCAATCTCCGCCATCTGATACGCACCTCCAAACCCGCCTGGGCTGCCGTCCCATTCGCTGCTCGTCCGACGTCCGACGCTGCCCACGCCCATGCCCATACCATACGTCCCTCCGACCATCGTCCCCGTGCCCATCGAGCTGACCGTGCCCGTGCCGTTGCCGACATTCATACCGCCGTACGCGATCCGTCCGGTATTTGACCGTGACAGATCGCCGTGCATACTCGACCCGTCAAGCTCCACGGGTCCTCTGTCCTTTCTCTCTTTCCTCATCCACCACATGACGCCGACAGCAACGAGCAGCGCACCGCCCACACTCGCACCGACTCCCATGCCGACCATGGCCACAGTTCCCAGCCCTTGCTTCTCTTGGTTGCCGCCGTTGTTGCCCGTGTTCTGTCCCGGGTCGGTCGGCGCCACGCCGTCAGCCACAGCCGGCGTAGACGCAGGGATCTTGGAGGTCATCGTCGGTATCGAAGTCACCGCGGGCGTATGTCCCGGTCCCGTTGCCTCTGCCGCACTTCCTCCGTGGCGGGAGCCCGAGGCGGACGGTGTCGGCGTAGTCTTTGCGTTTGAGTTGAATGTCTGGACGGCCAGTGCGTTTCCCGGCGTGGCGGCGATGAGGGGTCCGAAGATGGCGGCCGGCGTGGAGCAGCAGCGCGTCTTTTCGGCGGCGGATTCGCAGCAGAACTTCCCCGGCGTCGCGAAACCTTGGCTGTCGCATTGCCATACTTGGACGCCGTTGAAGCGGAAGTCGTATGCCGAGCTGTTTTTCCTCGTGTCGGGGTCTATGATGCGTCAGTATAGTTCATTGAGGCCGTCTCCTTCTCATTAGTCTCCACTTCACTCCCCCCTCTCCTTTCTTTTTCTTATAGTGACCTTAACAAGACTTATGAAAAAAGTGAAAAAAAAAAAAAAAAAAACAACTTACTTAGTACGCAATTTTGCGGGCAAATCGGGCTCTGCCAAGTCGGATCCGAACATGTACCTCTCGCATACGCGATGCCAGTGTTGTTAGACGTATCCTCGAGCTTGCACAAGCCGTTGCTCAGACAGGCGTTCACGGAGCCGCAGCACATGCTGACCTCGGCCTTGGGGTCGCACGGAACGTCGAGGCTCTGGATACCGCCAGGGAAGAAGCACAGGTTCGCCGCGGCCCGGACGCCGCTTACGCCCGTTACGGCGAAGCTCGCGGCCATCAGGAGTAATGTCGTTGACCGCATGTTTGTCGTCTTGTCTTTTCTGAGAGAAACGAGTGCGAAAACGGGGGAATCAAACTAAGTACTATGCCAGACGTCGATCACTGTAACTGGACCCAGTTTGATGGATCGTTGAACGGGGCGGGATGGTAGTAATAGATGTGGCGCTTTTAATATGTAAAATTGTCGAGAACCAGCCTCTTTGAATATCGTTTACGGTTTTCGATTTGCCGATATCGTTGACGATGGAGGCTCGGGCCCCTTAGCACTTTGTTCGTTTAGGCGAAGAAGTGTGATGAGGAGAGGAACGAAAGGGAGCGAGTGATTATGGAGATGGGGGAAAAAGGGGTGTGTGTGTGTGTGAGGGGGAATATGATGTTCCCGGTATTGGGTTATTGGTGATGGGTATGTACGGTGATGCTACTCTGCGCTTCCGAAACAGTACTCGATCGACGACGGATAGATGGGATAGCAATAACAACAACGGGATATATATAAAAGAAAAAGACGAAGCAAGAGGCTCTCGATCCTCCCCCGTAGGATTAAGATTACCTCACAAAAGTAACAAGTAAGGAAAAAACAAAGATGATGTTAAAGAGTGTACTGGGGTTCTTATTCCCAACGCTTCGATGATGATGGTGATGATGATGGATGAGTAGATCGAGGTAGTAATGGCGTGTGTGTGTGTGTGCGTGCGTAGTAATCGTCGGTGTTCAGGAGAAACGTAATCAACACGTCCAACCACGGGTCGAAGCAAAAAAAAGAGGAACTGAGCAAAAGAATTGCAAACGACGACGACGACGACGACGACGACGACAACAACAACAACACGAAAAGGAGTGAGAAGGAAGTTTGCAAAGAAAGTCCGAAAACCTCTCCAATTCCCAAAAGAAAGGCGGCGCAGCCTACCCTTAAGAGAGATCACATATCCCAAACCCATCCGCTTCCGTTCCCCCCTCTTTTCCATCACACACACATACTCTCTCTCTCTTGAAGACTACAACTTCCTGAATCCCGGATGGTCATCCGTGCTCCATTCTCCATATCGCCTCTCACTCTCCCACACCCCACGAACACCTCGCCGGCAGCACGCCGACCCGACCTTGACACTCCTCCCTCTGGACACCCCAGTAAACCAGGCAAGCAGACAGGCATACAGAGAGAGACAGAAAAGAAGGTATGCCCTCGCATCCCTCCCCTCCAGCAAGGTCCCAGATTCAGGGAACCCCTGGACTGTGTCGAACGCAAGCCATAGAAGTATCCAAACGTAAGGGGGGGGGGGACGACGAAAAAGGTGACCAACCGTCGTTCGAAAGAGGTTAAAAAAAAAGAGGACCCTCTCCCAAAAGGCCTAGCAACTCCAAAGCCCCCCGTCGTACAGTACAAAAAACCTGGGACACTTGACGATTTGACTCGTCCCAAGGCCCAACCATACATACCATCACCGAGTACTCTCTGGGCGAAGGAGGGTGGGGGGGAGCCCTGGCCTTTTGCCCTTTACAGATTTCTCAACTCTGTCAAAACCCGCCGTTGTCCGCCTGGCAGGGCACACAGGTGTCCGTCAATGCGGGATTGGAATTGGGAATTTGTGCCCTCTCTCCTCCTCCTCCTCCTCCTCCTCCTCCTCCTCTCACGCCAAGTTCGTCCAGGCCCAGGCTCATGACTCGCAGCGACTCATACCGCCCCACGCGCGCGTCTGGTTTCAGGTCCGATTGTCCTCTTGGTTTTTTTTTCTTCTTCTTCTTCTTCTGCAACGGATTCGCTTCCGCCCGGCAGCGTCGTATTTCTCCTTGTCTTTTGTAACTCGACATCTTGTCTCTGTGTGTGAGTGTGAGTTGTCTTAAGTCCTATACCAAGAACGAATCAGTAATCACGAATCCCCCCTTACCAAAATTTCTGCCCAGACCCTTTTTAAGCTCTGTAACCCGCGGAAAGGGACCCTTTCAGCCTCGGACAGGGGTCTGTCGTAGATAGAGAGTATGCCAAAACTACCAAGACAATATTAAAAAGAATTAAAAAAAAAAAAAAAAAAAAAAAAAAGACACCCATCTCTCCCTCCCCCAATCGAGCGAGAGTTTACGCCGCAGACACCCCCCCCCCCCCGGGGGACACTGTCTGTTTCCAAACTCATCCTTCAATGGGTCCCCTTTTTTTTCCCAATCCCATTTTGCTCTCTCAATCAATTCCCACTTGGCTGGCCCTACGGACCACTTTGCAAGTGTCTAGAACGCGTTCTTTTAGATTTTGCGGTTCCGCTCGAACGACTAGACTTTCATTTCTGCATGGCTGTGTAGTAGTAATACCGAAGAAGACAAAAAAGACTAATATATTCAGTCCAACGGTTTCTAGGTCCCTCCCTTCCCAATAGGAACATACGGGAGGAGACAGACACGGACTGAGAGTCTTTTCAAGATACCTTAGTACATAGTATGTAGACCTGCCTTATTCAAGACACGCCACGCCCAGTTACGGTATGGTGCCTTGCCTTGCCACCATCGGTTTCTCCGGGGGTCGCCCAGGTCTCAGAAAGAGCACGTACTCTATCTATTCTTGGTAGATGCTGGGTATAATACATAAGAAACTAAAGAAAGGAAGAAAAGAATAATAATAACCGTCTTGAACCCCCCCATTTTCCATCTCTCAAAACTCTGGTCTTTGCCCACCCCGTTCGTTGTGTTTCTTCCCCAGTCTGGGAGAGGAAAACAGTCAAGACAGACCCCAGCCAAGAGTCTTGTCGTGTGTCGTGTCGTTACCGCATGCGTAGCTTGATAATAACAAAAAAAAAAAAAAAAAAAAAAAAAAAAAAAAAGAGTAATCGTGCCTTAATGTCGTCAAAGTAGTCATTTCCCACACCACCGAGCGGCGCATACACCCACCCTCTTCGTCGCCCAAAGACTCGACGGGTTCGCAATATCCTTTGTCCCATCTTCCATCCCACCTCACCGGTCACTCGTGACAGGCAGAGCGAGTCGGGGCATGTGGCTTCCCGCCCCACCAGGCATGGCCCCTGTCGTCGTCCCGCCTCACACACTTCCGCCTAGGCCATCAGACGGCTCACGCCGCAACTTCTTCCTCGTCGAGGGGTTCAACCCTGACAAGAATCTCCTCCAAGAGACCTTCTAGGAAAGTGCCCACATCCCTCCCCATGCCTACCGGCTCCGCCTTGTCATAGTGGTCAATTTCTTTGCAGACATGCGCTAGCTTATATACGAGCTTCCGCAGCTTTTCATGTGCTGCTTCTGCCCGCTGCTGTTTGGGTGTCACCTGGTTCATTGCCACCGGGCTCGAGAACCCGGGCTGCGGTCGGAAAGCCTGCTGCAGCCTAATCTGCCTTCTCTTGAGCGCCTCCTCGAGCGCCGGGAAGATGACGTCGTTGAGGGCGTCCAGCTCGCCGTTGGGGTTCGACGGCGCGGGCGAAGGGAACGATGACGGGGCCGCCGGCTCAGGAGTCGGCGTCTGCGTCTTCGAGGGCAGCGCGTGTGCCTTGGGGGGAGGTGGGGGCGGCGCTTGACCTGAGGGCTGCCGGAACTGGCCGTTTGGCGATTGGCTCACGATCCTGGAGGGCGCTTGTTGCGATGCCTGCTGTGACGGCGGCGGCGGCGGCGGTGGTCCACCGCGGTAGGGCGGGATCTCTGGGAGCGTCATGGGTGCCATTTTGGGATTAGGGCGCGGCCCATGAGGCTGTGGCCGTGGTGTCGTCTCCTGGGGGGTCTGCAACTCCGCCGGCTGGATGACGGGGCCTAGGCTTAGTAGGCCCATGTCTCTCTGTAGCTGGGCCTGCAGTTCACGGTCGTAGTCCGGAGATTGACTGACGGGGACGGCTGGTGGGATGAGTCGAGAAACGGGTCTTGGCGTCTCTGGCGCCCTCTGCAACTTTTCTGGCGATGCTGGAAGAGGCATCTTGACCGGCGACTGGGGCGCGGTTGTCGGCACTGGCTTCCGCTGCGGTGAGGCCTGGCGGGAGGTTCCCGTATTGGCGCTCGCAGCCTTTAGCGTATCTGAAGCGAGAGCAAGGTCACGGCCGAAATCTCGTATCTTTGTAGGGCTGTTGTCTCTCGGCCGCTCGCCATAATCGTCGGCATTCTCCAATGACCTGGCCGCTCTTGCGTTCGCGGCCGATTCGTCTAGGGCATTGAGCCCCGGTCGAGGAATGACACCGCCTCTATCACCGACCAGCCTCACAGTGCCAAAGTCCCACATGTCTTCGTCTACCTGCTGGCGTTCATGGTACTTTTCATTCTCTTGGTCGCTCTCCTCGTCATCACCCTTGTGAGTGGCGGCCCACCGGGAGTGGCGCTCAATCAGCTCAGTTAAATAGCTAGTCTTCTTCGCGCGCCGTATAAAGGGGTGCTTCAGCAGGTCCTTTGCCGTGGGCCGGTCCTTTGGATCCCTCTGCAGACACACCTCGATGAAGTCCCTGAACGCCTTGGTGAAGTTGCCTTCCAGCCGCGGCGGCGGGTTCTTGGGGATGAGAAATAACACCTTCATGGGATGGATGTCGGCGTAGGGGGGCTCGCCGTTAGCAAGCTCCAAGGCAGTGATACCCAGTGACCACACATCGGCCTTGTGATCGTAGCCCGATTGCTTAATAACCTCGGGCGCCATCCAAAAGGGGGTGCCCACAAAGGTGTTCTTCTTGGTCATGGTCGCCGAGAGCTGCCCGGAGACGCCAAAGTCGGCAAGCTTGACCTGGCCGTTGGAGCTTAGGAGCACGTTTGCAGCTGGAGGTGTGTGTTAGTAAGACCATCAGGGAAGCGGTACGGCGAGGCAGCTCGAACCTTTGACATCACGATGTAGCTTCTTGTCAGAGTGCAGGTAGTCAAGACCAAGGAGAAGCTCCCGAATAATGATGGCAATGTAGTCTTCGCCTATCAAGCCGGGCTTCATCAGATCGGCGCAGCTTCCGCCGGAGCAAAACTCCATGACGATCCATAGCTCAGCGCCCTTGGCATAGGAGCCGTAGTATTTTGTGACGTAGGGTGACTGCAGCTCCGACAGGATGGCGATCTCCTGGATGATGTCCTCGACCTCGTCCTCGGCGCTCTCGATGTCGATGATCTTGATGGCGACGGCATGGCCGGTGCGCTTGTCAACACTGCACAACACAACTGTCAGTCTCTTGGCGGGTTTCCCGGGGGCATCTCGTGCCAGGAGGAGTGAACTGGCTTGCTTACCCCTTGTAGACCTTGCCGAAGCTTCCTCCGCCTATGGGTGGCCTGCATGTTAGCAATGTGCCGTCTCGGGACGGGAACGGCGCATACCAATGCAGTACTCCTTGGTGTAGAGGAGCTCTGGGTCGAGCGCCTCATTGCCCTCCTCAATATCCCTGTCACGATCTCCCATGTTTACGGTTTGCAGTCGCTAGGTCGCTGACGTAGCGGTCTGAGTGGGCCACGCAGTTGAGCGATATGCACCCAGTCGAAGACGTGGCTCGGCGCAACGTTGATGCTGCGGGGGTGCAATTCGCGACGGCGCCTGTGTGCGATCGTAGGTTGTCTGTCTGGGGTTTTGCAGAGGTTCGTCTCGTCCTCCTCAATTGTCGACGGAGATCGTAGAGCAAGGAGATGCGTCTTTTGTCGTGCTCGGGGGTTAGAACGAGAGGACAGGCAGGTTGAAGAAGGGACCCTGGAGTTCGAAGCGGACGCGGGAGGAGGCGGTGGGGGACGACGGATGCAGCCGTGATGGGATGAAGGTCCAGTGACCAAATGCGACGAGGCAAAGAGACGGAGAAAGAAAGCGATCTAGAAAGACACGACGAGGTTAGCCAAAGATCTCCTAGTCGGGGAACCTAACGGTAGTTAGCTCCCAAGGGGAGCGGTAGGGGGAACATCGGCAGCCATACATCCTGGGTCGTACGTAGCGTTTGTCTCTTTTTCCTCAAGGTGACCAGAAACAGCAGAATATACAGGAGAAAAAAGGACCAGAGGCGCAAGGACAAACTTCTAGCGGGGCGCAACAATTCGCATTCCTCGAGTCGAGCGCGGCGTTAAGAACGAGGCAATTGGGGTTTGGTAAGGAAAAGACGTCAGCCGGGGTCGCCAATTTCACGGCAGAACCGTAACCAAAACAACGGACGAAGGCGGGATGGGCCAAAAAAAAGGAAGCAAGCTTCTTGGAGTAGTTGTGGTGGTGGTGGTGGTAGTGGTGGCAGTAGTAAGTAGTAGGTAAGATGAGGTAATGAGAAAAGGAGCCGTGGGGTTATGCTCCGGAGCAACAGACGCTGAGCTGCAGGTGCCAAAATAAGGGTACCAAAATATGTGATGAGTATATAAAAATAAGAATAACAAATAAAAGGAAAGAAAAAACAGGATTGGCCAAAAAAGGATTGGATGGGGCTTTTTCTTTTTTTTTTTTTTATTCCTTCTCTTTTTTGATTCGAGAAGGGAAAGTGAACTGGATGCAGTAGGAAAGGAAGGAAGCTGCGTGACGCTGTTGGTGTTGCCGTTGGCGCAGCCTAGACTTAGACTGGCACACGATCAAGGAACGGACGCAGGAACACACGAGGGATAGTGTGGGGTAAAAGTATAAACACAGACCAGGTCAGGCTGGTCTGGATGAGAGGAGGGAGAGAATAGAGACAAGGAGGCGGCAATGATGGTGTAGTGTGACAGTTCCTCTGGGTTGTGGTGGTTGTTGTCCGTCCAGGTTGCTTCTTTGTTGTTGACAATGTATAGAAAAGACCGGAGGCTCAAATTGGGGGGGCCTGAATTGGCGCCTCTCTGCTAACTGTTTAGGGTAATGGTGTGTCTTTTGGTGTACGTAGTGTATCCTATGAATAGGACACTGGCAAGTGTATATTGTATGTGTATGGCATATGTCGAGGAAATGAATGTGAGTGTACGCTACTCTGTGGTGCAATGCAATAACAATACTCGAATTTCCCGTCATGAATTTCTTCTTCCACCCAGTCCAGTCAACTCTCCTTGTTTTAAATTCGCAATGTGTTGTACCTTTATGCCTGTCGCGACTCGCTTGGGATTGCATTTCCCATTGTTTATGCGGAGGGGTTTTCCGCTGGTTCACCAGCAACCAGCCGCCTTCTGTTGATGTAACTTTTCCCCTCACTGGTTCCCCCTCTTTCCTCCCCCGTTGATTCCCCCCCCTCCCCTGGTACCCCCCAACCCAGTAAAACGACAGCGCTTCCAACCACCAAAAAAAAAAAAAAAAACAATCATTGCCCACTACTCACGGCAACACCTTTAGCTAAGCTCGTTATCTCTGATAAGCTAAGCGAGCCAGTTACCCGCCAAAACACACCCGGCGGCACAGACCACCAGTCCTTCCTCCTCTTTGCCCTCCACCTGAGAAAAGCCGTCCATCCCAATTGGGAAAGGCTTGGCTATCCGAGAGTCTCTCCCCTTTCCTAATTGGCTACCCACGTCATCCACCATCTCCCCTTTCCCCCCCCAATACCATGTATTCACGCTCTGCCTAGCAAAAAACACGTCCCCGTCCCGGAGCCCGTTCGCGACGCCGTCTTGATTGGTTGTTGGACGCGCTGAACAAACGACTACAGGGTTGGGCCAATTTTCGCACATCACAGACGTGTAAGCTGGTTCGTTGGTCTACGGTCAATCGTCATTCCTGGACTATGATTCCTTCCTGCAGAGACCGGTGAACGCGACGCTGCTGCCGTCTTTTTTTTTTTTGACTGAGACACCCGGCCCATCTCACGAACCATCTTTTCGGTTCCCTACACGTCACCGCAATGCGACATTGGCCGCTATTTTTCACACAAAAACACACAAACGCTATGGCTGCCTGTCTCCGAGGTCTATTGACGTGCCTGTAAAACTCGTCTACCCTTAGCCACTAGTACATCACTGGCCATCCGCAGATCACCATGCCCGTAGCCCCCGCCCATCCTCTCTGTCTGTAATTCGGCGGTTTCGCGTATTGGCCCGCCTAGCAATCATCGAGCCAGTACTGTCACCGCGTGCCGTGGTATGTATGAGCAGAAGCCCATGGAAAAAAACAACAAAACGAACAAAACCATGAGAAATAGGAGAAAAAAAAAATTAAACGACCTTCCCTTTCCCTGTTCCATATCTATTGGCCATGCCCCGGCCCGTGTGAAATCATGCACATTTGCCCCCCCTCCCTAACGGGTGTCATTAACCAACCGTCAATCATCAGTGACATGCCAGCCCATCCTAGTCCTCAATGAACTCAATCATGACCGTTCCCTGCTTGAGACCAGCCTCCAGGATCGTCTTGTCCAGGTCTTCCGTCAGGTCCTGGCCCTGAGGCATACGCTTCAGCTCCAACTCAACGCCGGCCTTGCCCTCCAGAGGCTCTGCCTTGAGCCACTCGTAGATGCGTCTCACCGAGTCGTCCAGGTTGAACCGCCGAATGACACGTCCTGTGGGGTGTCGGAACTGTATTCTTGTTGTCGTCGCAGGGTTGTTCTCGGGCTCTGTGTGAGGTCTGTCGCTGGCAATCTGGGCCCAGATGCTCTGCGAAGGTGCCGCCGCCTCTGCCGTCGGTGTCGTGGCCTCGTCTACCGGGGCCTTGCCCTTCTCGCTGGAAGAGTCCGACTTGGTAAGAGCGTCGGGATCAAAGACACTCGTGTTGGGCTTGCTGGATGAGCTGCCGCTGCCGCCGCCGTTGGACGTCGCCAAGCTGTTTTGCAGCGCCATTTCCAGCATCTCCTCCTCCGTCATGCGGTCAACGTCGACCGTCTTGGGGCGTTGCGTTCCCTGGTCTGCCACGGGGTTCTTGCTATTGGCCGCCAAGCTGTACCGGTCCAGGAACTCGGCCAGCTGGGCGTGGAAGTCTGAAGCCGAAGGGAACGGCCGTCCACTCCAGACCTTGACCTGTTCTCCCGTTCTCGGATCGATGATGGCGACGTGTGGGTAATTGTCGGGGTTCTCGTGGCCGCCGTGATGGAAGTAAAAAGTAACGTATTGCTGTGCCGAAAGGGAATCCTTGTCGTACTGCAGAAAGATGAAACTCTCCGCCAGCAGACGCTTGATCGCCGCATCCTTCCAGATATCGCGGTTGAGAGCCTGGCAGTTGAAGTCGCTCATATCCTGGAGATTGACAATGATCCACTTCTTCTCGTCCTTGCCTTCCTGTCTCGCCTCATCCCAGTCTAGCCTAGACATGATGTCGTAGGGAGGGCGGAAGAGCTCCGCAAGCCTTTGGGCACGGGTCCCGCCTTCTGTCGCGGCTGGCTGGGGAGTCGAGTTATCGTCGTCCCAGATCGACAAGTTGTGGTTAAAGGGGCCTCGATGTCCGCCTAGTAACAGCTTTTGTCAGTATAAAAATTCGCAGCATAGTAAAACGGGGTATGCCACCTACCTCGTGTCGCTCTTGCTGCCTCTCGCTGCCTCAACTGTGCCCGAAGGATCGTGTCCATGTCCATGCCCATGCCGCCATCGCCATCGTAGCCTCCGACGAGCGTCTCCGTGGTTCGAGCAATAGGCGATCTGACATCATCCTGCGCAGCGCCACCAGCACCGCCTGTTCCACGCTCCGAGTAAAGCTCTTCTTGTAATCTCTTAGCCATGGCGGCATCTTCCTCCTCCTGTGCAGTACGTGCAATAGCTTCAACCTGGGCGTTTGCCGCAATGTCCGAGTCATTCTGTCCAAACGGGTCGTCATCGTCGTCGTCGACAGTCATGGCGGTATCACCGTCGTCGTCGCTGTCTATGTGAATGACCCCACGCTCGTCCTGTCGTCCAACAGTCGGCCGGGTACTTGTGGGAACAGGCGGTGTTGTGGAAGCGCCAGCAGAGGGAGCAGCATTGGCAGCCTGGTTGAAGCTATTCTGGATGTCGGGGTTCTCGAAAAAGAGCTGAATGGCAGACTCTAAGTTGTTATTAGCCATCTCGAGAAAGCCGCGAGCTGCTTCCGGACTGGCGGCCGTAATGGCCACAAAGTTGGAGATATCTTCATCCATGGTGGCGGTTTTTTGCGCTCGACGTTTCGTAACCTCGGAACTCGCGTCGGTTGGGTGAGTAGGTAGGAGTAGGTCGTTTTTCAGATGGCGATAAAAAGGAGTAAAGGGTAAGATGTGAAGAGGCAGAAAGTTGGTGGCGGTCAAAGAGGTGAATGCAGAAAGCCCTCTGAAAGACGATACCTCTGCCCCACCTTCAGCCGAAGGTGCTGGAGTATCTGGCACAATGCGAGGGGCAGCTGCAGGCCTGGGCTGTCCGTGGAATTTGGGCTGATTTACGCAGGCGATATTGCAGAGTTCGCCTTTTCAATAAAAAAGAGAGAAAATAAAAAATAAAAAGTTATAGCCCGAGGGAAAAGGGGGATCTTGGAAGCTCCCGAAAGTAGACGAGGTGAGGTTTGCGCGCCACACAGGTTCAGGCGTCGATGGTGTTGGTTGCTGCTTGCTTTAACGCGGGCTTGTCCTGGCACAGGTGCTGCTGCCGAACCAGTGAACCAGTGACACCCTGAAGGCGTCAACTCTGTGACGCAACCGCCTGTTGGGCCTGAGCGCCGGAGAAAAGGCGGAATGTTATTGCGGTGGCGCAATATTTCAGCCACGGTCATCCGGGTATGGGTTGGTTGTGGCTGGTGTAGTCAAGCCACTTCTTTCAATTGCCAACCCCAAACCACAACTACCAAAGGGTTGGCTTGTTTGCATCAGGGACTTGCGAAGGGGCTTATATACCACAGGCCACTGTTTATACGTCTTCAATCGATAATCAAGTATAGCTGCAACGCATAAGATAGTCATCAATTCTAAGCAAGCTCGTACAAAGGGGTATCTTGTCCCCGTGTCTATACAACACAATCATGTCTTTCACATCCTCTCTATCATCCTCTCATCTCTTTACTTCTCCAATTCGCCCAAGATCTCCTTGAGATGCTTCTGTACCTCCAAAGACCTCTCCCCATCCATCATCTTCTTAGTCATCTCCACAAAGCCCTTCCTCTCATCCGCAGTTGGCGTCGGGAAAACCCCCCGTTGCATCGCCTGGAAGACTTGCCCGACCGCGAGCGCTCTCATAGTACGTTGAGATTCAGTGCCCACATCGCCAGCCTCAACATCTAGACTGTGGAGGTACCCAAGAGCAACCTCCTTGCCATCAGCCGCAGTGCCGGAATCCGGCTTCTCAGCGGCCTTCATTAGGTCGCGGACGCTTTCGTACCACACTTCGCGCTTGATGGCGGCAAACTTGGGGCTTGAAAGGTACGATTTGAGCAACTCAAACACCTTCTTAATAACCGCAATCGGGTTCTCCTTCATCTGCGGACGGTTGTAGCCCCTCGCGACGGCCTCGATGGCACTGACTGCCGCCTTTCGGGTCTTGTCGCCGGTGCTGTCGACGTCCATTCTATCCTCGTCAAGCATATCATCCAGCACTCCACTTACGATTGTCGAAATGTCCTCGAGCATGTCACGATCATCTCGCTGTTCCGCAAACTTCCAAAGAGCCGTAAAGGCATGGGGTCGGTAGTCCTCGTTGTTCCGCTTCGCCTCGCGCACAGCAACCTTTAGCTGTTGAGCAGCGATGGCAGAGTCATTCTTCCAGAGACTTTGTCCCTTGCCAACGAACTGCGGGAACGACTCCAACAGTTTCTCTTTGCCGGGGAACGTCTTGAGAGCATGGGCCTTGTCGAAAATCGGCCAGATCACCTTGAGGTTCGCATCGGAAATCTGTCCGGTGGCATCGCTGGAATTGGCCACCGCCTTGACCGTAGCCGCAATGGTGAAGGACGCAGTATGCTGCAGGTTCCACCTGGGCGCCTCCAGGCCCCTCTTGACGAAGCCGACAATCTCAGGGACGTACCGGGCAACGGTGCGGGAACTGCAGCCATGCTGACTCCAGACCTCGTCGAAACACTTTCGCGTGTAATCGTCCGTATCGTGAAGGCCCATGTATGTAAAGGGGATGAACTTCGTCGCCAGCCTGTTGAAGTGGTCGGGGGCGAGCTTCGACACTCCAAGAACAACATCTGCCACCTTGGCGCGCCGGGCTTCGTCCTCGCTTCCGAAATAGAGCTCGATGAACTTGTCGACGAGCCGCTCCTTGGACGCGTCGGGCACGATACGCATGAGGTATCCCACGGCACGGGCGTAGCCCTTGCTCACCTCGTCGTTGCGGTCGAGCGCCTGCTTCTCCATCAATTGCATGAACCTGGCCGAGACCGGCTTGAAGTCGACCGCGTGGCGCATAACCAAATCACCAATCAACCTAGCACATGCAATCTTGGTCGGCATGCCGATAGCCGTCTTAATGATCTCCTCGAGCTTGGGCGCGAGCTGTCTCATGCCGTCTGCGTCTAGCTGGCGCAGGCAGTTGTCGATGGCTTCGGAAATGGGCGACTGGTTGACCCATCTCGCTCGGAGCTTGTCCAGCTGGTCTCTCGAGTCCTCGCTAACCTTTTGGTAGGCGTAGTTGATCTGCTCCGGCTCGATGGTACTGTGGAGGCCGAGGAGAGGCGGTATGAAGTCGACGATGAAGGGTTTCAGGTTAGGACCGCCCTTCTTGGTAATGTCGATGATGGTCTTGAGCGAGAACATCTTTACTTCGTCCACGCCGCTCTCGAGTCCGCTCGGGGAAAGGAGGAAGCGGAGGGCTTGCTTGAGCATGGCCTGCGCTGAGGATGAGGCACCGCCCTCCTCGAGCTGGCGGACAATGGTGTTCGTCAAGCCCATGCACAGTTTCAGCGCCGCTTCGCGAACCGATCCCTTGACATCGTCAAGAACCTTCAATGCCGCAGTCCAAATCTCTGCGTAGTACTTCTCGTATTTGTGGAAAGGCTGTCCCGAGATGAGGTCGGAAATGGCGCCGCAACTAGCTTGGCGGACACGCCATTCCTTGCCGAGGATGTTCTTCAAAAGGTCCTCCATGATGGCGTCAAAGTGGACGCTAATTGTCTCGTTGGGGTTCTTGACGAGGGCCTTCCAGATGTCGTCCATGGAGCGCTGGACGTTGCTATTCGGATCGAAACGGTAGCGGAAGAGCTTGGGGTACAGCTTCGGGTCGACCTCCGACTCGGAGAGGATGTTACTCAGACCGAATCTGCCGAACGCTGAACGCGTCGACCAGGTCGCTGCATTGGTGGCAAGAGACATGAACTTGTAGACCAGACTTTGGTCGCCGACTTCGTTGGCGAGGTTGACGATATCCTTGTACGACGTGACTGACTTTCCTTCGCCGGTTGGCAGAGCACCGGGCTCGAACAGCTCTGTCTCCTCTTCGACCTTGATCTGCGTACTGTTGCCAGTAAAAGCCGATACCAGGTCCCTAACCAGATCCTGCTTCAGGTCTTCGTCGCCCTTCTCGTATACCAGAGACAAACCGCGGGAGGCAGTCTCCTGGACCAGCTCGTCGCGCGCGCTCAAGAGTCTCATGAAAGCGACCTGAGCCTCTCGGAGACGCGACTGAACTTCGTCGAGATGTCCACAGTACTGGACAACGCAGAAGAGCCAGATGCCGGAGGCCTTGAGGAGAGATGGCTTGGTAGTCTTGGAATCTTTGAAAAGCTTGTCAAGAACGGCAGTGATTCTCTTGCTTCTCTTTTCCTTCTTCCAAGGCCCATCCTGCCCGTCGACGTTCTTGGTCAACTTCACAAAGTCCGAGTCCCAGCAGGCGATGGCGGCGGTGATGGCCTCTCCGACGGTGAACTGGATCTCCGTCTCACGTCTGGTGTGCAAGCCAAAAAGCACGCGCAAAACACTGTCGATGCCAGAAGTCTTGCTAGAGGGATACAAAATGCCGTCTTCGGGGGTGGCCTCTTCGTTGGGCTCGTTGAATGCCAACGCAAGTCGACCGAGCGCGAAGATGGCCTTGTCGCTACCTGCCGCGGCCTTTTCTCCGAGTCTCTCAATCACGTAGTCGGCCGTGAGGTTATTAACGTTGTCCGGGATATACTGCGAAAGACCGGCGGTCCACAGCTCAGCGTAGCAATCGAGAATGGCGTCCTCCAACGAAGGACGGTGGTGGCTCTTGTCCATCAGTAGCTTGGAAGGCAGATGAGTGTCGGCGGGAATCGGGAGACCGTAGTAGACCGCCCTGGAAAAGATGTGCCCAAATGCCTGGATAGCTCCCTCGACCGCGTTAGCATAGGTGCCCACCGAGCTCTCCCATGCGAGAATCATGACCTTGAGATTCCGCAAGAACTCCTGGATATGCTGGTTTCTCAACTGCTTGGCGGTCGCTTCATCGGGGATGTCCAGATCCACCCCATTAAGGGGATGAGGAACCAAGATGCCGCAAGCCTGCGCGGAGAGGAAGCGGATGTGGCGGTTGTTGTTCCTCGTACAGGCTTGCAACAAATGTGCGTACCCGGCGACGTGGTTGATGGAGCCAGAGGGAGCGAGGGAGGCAATGTCGACGAGTGACCTCAGACAGCTTTCAACAATGGGGTTGGCACCCTCCTTGTTCTTGAGACGCACGCCATCGAAGCAAACTTTGATGAGAAGGGCGACGTGTTCTTCATCGATGGAGCGAAGGTAGGCGCGGATCTTGTCGCGGGTCTTGATGTCGTTGCGAACTTGAGTATCAAGCTGCTCTGTCCAGCCGGGAACGAGAGGGAAGTCAGGCAGAGCCGCGATGAACATGGCTCTCTTGACGTACTCTACGGCAACCGGGTAGGCAAAGAGTTTGTCGCCTTCAAAGTTCTGAATCGTCGCCTCATCGTCGAACTCGAGATGATACTTCTTTGGGGTGGTTCCGCTGATGAACTCTTCACCCGTAAAATCGTCGGAAATCTTCTCACAGAAGAGGTAAACCATCAGCTTGATCCAGTCGGGCATCTTGTGGTTCTCGCCGTCACGGTAAGTCCACGGGTCCAAGCCTTTACGGCCTTCCTCGATGACTTCGGTCCGTTCTCCCCTGCGTCCGGCAATGGCGAGGATGTCGATCCATCTACCCCGCTCATCCCACGATGCGATGGTCTGGTTCGCCCACTTGACAGCCGAGAAACGTGCGCTGCGCACCACTGGAGGGTCTTCGGGCAGTTCCATATAGTGAAGCAGGAGGGAAATCAGGTTTCCCGTTCCGGTGCCGCGACCTTCGCCGCTGACGTTCTTCGGGTCGAAACTCCTTGTCAGGCCCGAAAGCGAGCCCTCGATGTTAACAACTGCCTCCGCTGTAGGATCTTCCGAAAGAGAACGGAAAAGCCAGCCGACAAGGTGCATTCTGTCCTGAACACTCAACGGGCTTCCCATGCCAAGTGATCCGAGAAGGTCGTAGGCCATGGCCCTCAGGATCTCTTCGTCCGCTGAGAGGGTTCTTGGAGCTGGCCAGCCTTGATCCTCAACATACGAGCGCATCATATCGATGAGTTTTGAGCCTATAGTGAATGGGCCTTGTGTAGGACCCTGTGTCGCTGCCCAGTTGATAAAGTAGAAGAGAGCCTTGTGGAGCTTGTTGCGTTCCAGACCACTTGTAGCCTGGAGATGAGCTGGTGTGTTTGACGACGTCTCCGTGCCAAAGTCGAGAGTGACGACGGCATATATCCGGTCGTGCATTGTTGTAGCTAGTTTTGACTTGGAAAGGAGGTTGAGAATTCTGATACGATGGGGCGCGGGAAGTCTTGCATGAGAAGTGTAGAGCTCGTCCACAATCTCCTTCTTTTCAAAGTCGATGGTCATTCTTTTGAGAATATCCTCTCCAACCTGCGAAACTTGGTAATCGGGGCTGGCAGCCGCGGACAGAGCGGGTAAGAGCCTCTCCTCATCCTTGAATGCGCCACTAGCCAGCAGCTGTGCAATTTTGCGACGCAGATCCTGCATCTTCTGATACGCAGACGCCGTGTCGCGCTGTTCAGGCTTCAGGAAATCCAGATCCTCTGAAGTGAGTGCCGGGTTGAGCCTCTCAAAATCCTCACGGCTGAGGTTTGAGCCTCCGGGGATTCTCAGGAGGAGAACCTTGCCTAGCCATTTGGCTATGAATGCGGCGTCGGCATCGTCGGTCAGACCACTAGCCTCACGAAATGCCATGTCCTCTTCGCTGCCGCGAGATGGCACTTGGATATCCGGGATGATCTTGAGTAAAACATTGAACATGGATGGCTGCGTCGGTCCCAGTGACGGTGATGAGATGCCCTGCGCGACTTTACTGACGAGGGCGCGGCGATCGTAGTCTTCCATACGACCGATGCTGTGCTGGATAAATGACATGTCAAGGACACGAAGAATGGGTGATGTGTTGTTTTTATACTGGTCAATGAGAGCCTCGACGGGTAGAACGATGCTATCGCCACAGTCAGTCTGGCCACATCGCAAACTGACGTATGCGCCGTAAAACAGCCAACATACCTAGGGTGCATGATCAGAGTCTTGAGCTTTCCAGCAAATTGGATGACCTATGAAGAGAAAAATAATAATTAGAATATCAGCTTCATGTTCAGTCAGATTCAAGGGTCATTTACCTCATTGCGGACAGAGGCATGTTCGCTCGTAGCCTTGAGTAGCAAGGCACACAGGTACTTCTTTAGCAGTTCGTTGAGCTTCTCTTCCTTGTTAGAGGCCTCGAGGATCCGAATCTGAACGGTTCCTACGAGTCTCTTCTCCCGCGCCTCGGGAGATTCGCCCGACATCGTAAGAGGTCTGTCGCGGCGTCTGTTGAATGATTGATTGATGGGTTGATGATGGAAGAGAGGTGTGGGGTTACGTACATTAGTACCCGGGTCGCTAGCTTAGGCGGATGTACCTGACGTGGCTGGTGTGTGTGTGTGGTAAAGTCGACGTTGCTTTCGGCTGCCTGAGCTGAATAAGCCGGATCCGCTGGCTTCCAGAAATTCCAGCCCAGCAGGGATTTTCAGGGTTGCGGTGATGGGGTCAAAGTCGTGTTCTGATCCGTGCGCTGGTTCATTTGCCTCTTCATTTGCCTCCAGGTCTTTGTTTGCAAATCATTCTTTCAGCACGAATCGTTGAGTTTTTGTTGACGATTTGTTATTTCTAGATAAGAAATATTTAGATTGATAAACAAATCTACTCTTGATTGACTAACAGTTCATCTTTGATTATAACAACTGGCACACTAAACAGATGATGGAAAATTATTCAAGTTTACAATACAAGATTGAGCATTATTCCCCAGCAATCTAATTGTGATATTTTAACTGATTTCAACGATGAACTCAGTTTAGTTTATGGGACTATGAGCTTGACTATGGAACCACCTCATTGGCAAGAGGTGGACAAAACTAAAGACGATTGCTACAATCGGGTTGATTCGTTGCAGTAGAAAAAAATGAAGTTAATAGGTTCCGGGTGAGAAGGATCATAGAAACTACGATTCGTTCAAATCAAGTCTGTTAGCCAAATATTAGTTGCCCGTTTTGCTTTATAGCCCTACGCCTGCACCCGGGCTTAACATACTCTGCAGAGATTTGACAACTGAGTAACAAAATAAATATGGGTCAGCTTTGTTATGAAATAACGAAAACAAAGCTAGATGTGGCACTGATATTCTGCTTTAAACTTCTCTACAGTATGTGATTTCGCCATATTTGTCACCAGCACTCGGCCTATCGAGAGACTTGTTTACCTCGCGGGCTGGTTATATGCGAGTAAGTAAGAATCAGATCATGCCTTGAAGATACAATATTAAATGCATCTAGAAGTATTTACAAAATTATGCAAATGGTAGTGGGTAATTGATTGTGTATTTGGAAACTCAGACGTATACTTTGGGACTAACTATGCATATGTAAATGCACATCTTTCTCGTCACGTATTGGATGACAGTACATTAAGATATAATCTTAGCATCTTCAACGTACTGCTGGACATGTTATAAACTCCGCTCATTCCGAACACCCTGAGATGTGGCAATCAATTCATCACCGGGTAAGCTCACTACTTGTGACATATTGATGGACGTCCAACATGCTAAAGCTGTTATCGCTGGCCGAGAAAGTCATTCGAGTTTGAGCTTCCTTACCTCATAAATTTATTCCTCATCGTGGTCAATTACCCAACGACGTTTAAACCTGGCCATTTTATCACTATGTAACGCTCTTCGACGGAGACAGACCATGCGCATAGCAATCTTGCTAGCAATAGTAATTACGAAATTGATCAAGCCAGAGGTCTGAAGCGGTGTCTTGTCTCTAAAGCCGCGTATTAATCTGCATTCCCAGACAAGTGGCGTGAGCTGCTACCGCATCCGGGCCAGTTTGGTGCCAAATCCGGCGAGCCTCTTTGTCAGTTTAGGCTTTTGAAATATACTTATATCAAGGAACACTAAAATTAATTGCCCCAGGACACTATAAACGAAATACCTCCTCGGTCAGAATCCAGTCAGTTTGGTGTGAGAAAACACATTGTGGTCTGTACCGTGTTCTCTCAACAGTGGCGGATGCTCTACGTGCAATACAATCGTGGACCCACCTCACCAACATGTCTCAGCAGGAAGCCTTGATCGCTTTGACCGAGGGGCTCTTACAGGATGCTCGAGACCTTGTTGCGACCGATGCCAAGCTTGTCAGATCGAGAATGGCCATGAAGGCTAAGAAGATCCTTCAACTTACTGCAGGGCCAGACGAGATAATCGGAGGCCTTGCTGTTGCTGTAAGAATATACAGCCTGACCGAACTTCTTGTTATTTCCTTGAGATGTCTGACTTTAAACATCACCTAGATGGCTGAGATTGGTGCACTGAACCAGTACATGGAATGGAAGTTGTTTGACGTTATTCCGGACAAGGGTGATATCTCATACGCGAAACTTGCTGAATCGATCAAGGGAGACGAGAACCTCGTTGGCAAGTCACGTCTCTTCTCATCATGTGCGATAAACTAACCGCCCTCGTTTCAAGCACGCCTTGGCGGCGTGATGGTGTCAACTGGTCGTCTTGTTCAAACATCAACGGGCCACGTCGCTCACTCAGCAACCTCCCCAATGTTTAAGCACAAAAGTCCACCTGGGAATCTCTTTCGAGTCATGTTCGACCATGGACTTCGTGGATACACGCACTGGAGGAAATATTTCGCCAAGTATGGAAACCACGAGCCAACAGGGGTGTCTCATAATCCATACACCTTCGCCTGTGGCCAACCTGAACTCACTGTTTGGGAGCAAGCAGATCACCTTGACCCGGAGAGAGCAGAGATCTTTGCATCTGCCATGAGATCTGCGGGATCAATAGCCGGGAAACATGGGGGGCCAGCTTCTATTTATGATTTCTCATGGCTTGGAGAGGAAGCAAATTCCAGCTCCACTCAAAACCCGTTGATAGTCGACGTTGGTGGAAGCCATGGAGATACGCTCAAGCATATCCTCCAAGCCGTGCCAAGTATTCCTCAAAGCCGGTGCGTGCTACAAGACCGACCGGATGTCATTGATGAGGTAATTCGAACGGATGATGAGGGACTGAGGGATGTCAAAAAGATCGGCCATGACTTCATGAAAGAGAATCCAACCAAGGGTGAGTTTTCTTCCCCAACATGGAAACAGCAAACGGTCTCTGTCAGTGCTGACTCACTTCGTGGCTCGGCAGACGCCATGGTATACCTCCTTCGCCGCGTGCTTCATAACTGGTCAGACCAAGCATGTGTTGAAATCTTGACGCGTCTCCGCTCCGCTTTGCCGAGGGATGAGCCGCGCGCAAGAGTGCTTATAATGGAACATGTCGTTTCGGACCCGCCCTCCGTCAGGAGCGCCGCCACCGATATGATCATGCTCAACATTGGTGGCAAAGAGCGCACCGAACAGGGATTTGCCAAGATCGCCAAGGACTCTGGCTTGAAGATTGTCAAGGTGCATCGACTGGAGGGAACCGAAATAGGAGTTGTAGAATGCGCAACTACTTAAGCGTATCTTGTTATCCGGCTGCATAGGTTGAAATATCATGATAGCGAGTATGGACTGGACTGACGGTGAATGTTGAAGTGCAGCTGGCCAAGTGTCCAGAGAATTCGAAGCCCACTCGAGTCATTCTTGATAGAGCTTTGATCGGTTTCTGTGATATTATGACCTGAATTTTCTGTGTCCTGATGGCAAACATGTTCAGATGATGTTTCTGAATGGTTCTTACAGCGGGAACTGGTCCGCAGGGCGAAGCCATCAAGCGTCGTCAGTCAACCATGTCATCGTTGGTATGTGAAACCCCAAAATTGATACCACTGCCTCCTTAGCCCAGCGACTGTCTTGGACCTGAAGCTCATCCTGCAGTATCACTCGGTCGACGCTGCATCTGCTCAGACGGCCTGTAACGCCGATATCCGGGAGTTCGTTGACGCACGTACACTTTCGACCGTGCCGCGCCCGCAGCCAAGTGATTCGACCGGCGATAGCTCCATGGGCTCGGACTGGCACGTCCTAACCATGATCTGCAGAGCTATGGAGCTCCAGGCTTGGGTAACCCAGGATTCGGAACCCCGAAAAAAAAAAGAAGGAAGCTACGTGAATGGCCACGGAAAGTAAAAATGCGCTGGGTTGCAGGGCGGCAAACAATGAATATCTCGATGGCGCGCCTCAAATACCATTTTGCGGGATAGGTCAGCACCTCTTTCTAACCCAAACCAGATTTCGGATTTGGACAGAAGACTGTTCAAAATGGGAGAAAGCATGGAAGAAAAAAGCCCTGTTGTGCGCGATATAAAGAAAGGGCCCTCGTTAACGAGCAACGAGAACCCTTCGACAACATCAGCGGGCGAGGCTACCTCGACACCACGAACGGATGGAAATCTTTCGAGACCACCTACTTCCGAAAACACTTCGCGACCGCAATCGGGCGACATGCGACGAGTAGAACGTCGGCTTTCGCGGGCAGAGTCCAACAATGCCAACACACCTCCGAATCAGGCAAAGCAAGTGAACAACGAAAAGCAGGAGAAGGTATCTCAATCAGCTGAAGATGACTTCCCCGAAGGAGGAACTCAGGCTTGGCTCGTGGCCGCTGGTACGGCAAGCATCTTGTTCTGCTCACTTGGATACACAAATTCGTTTGGCGTCTTCCAGGCATACTACATGCGGAACCAACTTTCGAACCACACCCCTGACGACATTTCTTGGATTGGATCGATCCAGGCCTTTCTGGTGTTCGCTTCAGGAGCTGTGGGAGGACCAATATTTGATCGCTATGGCGCCTGGGTGAGTAGGCGATTGTGTGCTGCATAGGGAGGATACTCCTGGTCATGTGCTAATGTCTCCAAGGTCATCCGTCCCGCCGCGGTGCTCTACTTGTTCTCGATCATGATGACGAGTTTGTGCAAAGAGTACTGGCACTTCATGCTGGCACAGGGCGTCCTAAGCGGCATCTCGAACGGCTTGATCATGTTTCCGGCGATGGCTGCGACGCCCCAGTACTTCTTCAAGAAGAGAGGTGCGGCCATGGGCATTGCGATCGCAGGCTCCTCCGTTGGCGCCGTCGTCTTTCCAATTGTGCTCTCGGAGCTACTAGAAAAGGTCGGGTTCGGTTGGGCCGTTCGAGTTTGCGGCTTCATCATGACTCCTCTCCTTGCATTCTCAACAGTCACAGTCAGGGCGCGGCTCCCGTCGCGAAAGACTCGGTTCATCCTATGGTCAGCATTTCGAGACCCGTTCTACTGCTTCCTCATTGCCGGAGTCAGCTTCATGTTCGTGGGCATGTTCACCCCGCTGTTTTACCTTCCAACCTTTGGCATCGCCCATGGGATGGATCCCGGCCTCGCTTCATACCTCGTGGCGATAGTCAACGGAGCCTCTGTTCCTGGCCGTATCATCCCAGGAATCCTAGGTGATAAGTTCGGTCGCGTCAATATCCTCTTTCTTGCCGGCTTATTTACCGCCATTTCGATCTTCTCCTGGACCAAGGCAACGACTAACGCGGGCATCATCGTATTCTCAGCCTGCTTTGGATTGACATCCGGGGCCATCATATCTGGAGGGTCCGTCGTGTTTACCCTATGTCCGAAATCTCCGAAAGAAATCGGCACTTACATGGGTATGGGCGTTGCGATCGCCTCGGTGGCTATATTGATTGGGCCCCCAGTCAGCGGTGCTTTACTAAACCGTTTCCATGGATTCATGGAAGTGTCCATCTTCGGCGGCGCAATGTGTATGACAGGAGTGGTTTTGATGCTCATCGCAAAGTTCTTCTCAAAGGGAGGACTGTTGGGATTCATTTAGTGGTTGTCCCCAAGGTGAAGTAATGGAGAAGCAGGGGTAGAGCAATGGTCTAGGCCATGGCCATGCTTTAGACCCGAGCTGTCCCCTTCAGATCACGTCACTCTGATGAGTTCTTGTACAGATAGATTAGCGATAGATTAGCCCAGTGAAACATATTCACTGAGAAAAACGAATTATAGAGTCTTGAGATTGGCAATTTGTTGCCGAGTCGGCAGCGAAAAGACCATTGACATGTCGCAATAGCCCCACGCACTCCCCTCACTTGATGGCAATTCGCCCCAAACGATCCTCATTTCCCCAACCTGTCATGCTCTTGGAATTCCAGGGATCATCACCTCCTCATGGCCTATCGGCCACGTCGGCGTAGCATCGTACTCAGCAACCATGGCAACTCAAACCAGGGCATCAATGTCAATGATTGGTGCTTTATCCTGCAAGGAGGGGTCTGATTTCCTTCTTGGGACCAGATTGGAACCTTATCCCCGCCGGCATCTTACCGATCACGGATGTTTTCAGATAGCAGCAATGGATTGGATGACGTCTTCAAGGGTTCTTAGTAGGAGGGATGCAGGAATCTGAGTAACGGTGTAACCGATGCAACTATTGTTCTCCGGCTTCCCCTCCCGCTCTGCAATTAATTGTGATTGCGAAATGGAACCATTTGTAATCACACCGAAGACGTTAGCTATCCCGGAAGAAGCTTAAACCTTAAGTAGCTGTGGTAACCCGCAGCTGTCAGGACATATCCCCGTTAGAATCCAGACTTCTCGATCCACCAAGTCATTGGAGTAGGTTCAGTCACGAAGAATCCAGGATGCTCAGCAAAACCATCTTCACGGCCCTTTTGGGCCTTGCTTCCCTGGCCACTGCAACCAAGAACTGTCCTATTGCTGATGTTTCCGCAATTGCTCATACTGGCACCCCGGTCGGCAAGGAGGTGACCTACAATGGGCGTAAGTTCTCCCTCTGTGGAAGCTACTTATGATCATACGTTGATTTTGGTGTGTAGTGAAACTCTATGTCTCCAAGCCGAAGGGCAATGCGCAGACCAAGAAGAACGCCACCGGTGTTCTCTATATCACCGACGTTTTTGGCGTCCAGCTTGCGCAAAACAAGCTGTAAGCACTAATCCATGTCATGACTCCCTGTCGATTGGCAATTCGCCCTGCACCGCCAGTACTAATGAGCATTTAGGCTTGCTGACAGCTTTGCCCGCGCCGGCTTCGTTACCGTTGCGCCCGACCTGTTCGACGGCAAGCCTGCGCCCGAGGATATCAACGTCCCGGGCTTCAACACCACGGAATTTCTCGCACAGCACGGCACTAATGTAACGGATCCCATCGTAGCAAACGCTATCCAATACCTGCGCAAAGAGCTCGGCGTGGCCAAAGTCGCCGCCACGGGATACTGCTTCGGTGGTCGCTACGCCTTCCGTGAGCTCGCGGAGGGCAAGGGAGCCGATGTTGCATTCGCCGCGCACCCTAGCTTGCTCACTGACGACGAGATCAAAGCCATCACTCGTCCTGCTAGTGTCGCTGCTGCCGGTATGTGACCTTCTCCCTTGGTGTATCAGGGAAATGTGTTTTTTTGCTGATCTTGCGCCTAAATAGAAACCGACAACCTCATGTCCCCCGCCCGCCGAGCCGAGGTCGAGGCTCTTCTGAGTCAGACCGGTCAGCCATTCTCCCTTAGTCTGTATGGTGGTACCTCTCACGGCTTCGGTGTTCGCGCGAACATTTCGAACCCAAGAGAGAAGTTTGGCAAGGAGGAGGCTTTCTTCCAAGCTGTTCGCTTCTTCAACACTTGGGCTTAGGTCTGTGCAGCACTTGTTGGGAACCGGACACTTAGTTATAATATCCAAGACATCAACTCTGAAATGTTGAAGTGGAGCTTACTGGTTGTGCTTTCGCATGTACTCTTGGGAGGATGAGTCGCCGCGTCATAATAAGAAGGAATGCCAGGCTGTTCATCTATTCTCTTAGCCACTACGATGTATCAGTTCTTGAAAGTAAAGGGCGGTAGAGCATAACGATGACTTATACCTCATAGAACGGGTTAATTGTGAATCTGGCCATGTCCTGACTTTGTCCTTCACAGAAACAAAGCACTTATCATTCATGGAAAGCAATCCAAAAACGATAAAAGTAATTGTGATAATGCAGAGCGTCAAAGCCTAAATGAAAACCCTGAGTTCGATAATCCGTTTGCGTACACATGCAAAACTCGCTGACGAAAAGCGTTGCCCTCGTTAGAGAGTCTATATGAGGGTCATACCATCTCCAACGTGTCCCGACAATTTGAACGGGATCTAAACACAACAGAAAACCGCCTCATGGCTTATATGCGCGGCCTCCGGCTCCGAACAATCGTTAGCCACGTGTGCGGAAATGACGATATTGAGCTTAAAATGCTTGGTAGCTGAGAAAGGAATAGTGTTATGCATGTAGAGGATTGCAATCAGCCTTACAAGATCGCCTTGACAGTAGCTCAGGCCATTTGTGGTTTATGATTCTACCCCACTTCCTCGCTTTCGCTTTCGGGAACCTCCATGGGTCCCAATGTGTTTCAAGCATGCTTGATTTAATCTTTCGCACATAGGTCGATCTGAGCCTCTTGTCTACGGGTCATGACTAGTCTGCCTTGCCAATCTATCGTGCTTCACTGTCCCTGATTGCTCGTTCTACTCGAGCAGCCGGCCGCTAGTTGGACGCAGCCGTGATTTTGGCAAGTATCACTTTCAAGATGATAGATTTCGACATACAGTTGAGTAGATTGCAACCAGGATTACTTCAGGAGTCGATGTCGAGTTTGCTAGTGACTAGTAACTTTCTCATCCTGTGATTTGACAGTCAAACTGAGTGCCATGCCTGTCAAATATTCAGCTCAGGTACATTCAGAGGTTAAAATTTACTTTTGTTTTTGAATTTTGTTTGTCTTAATCAATTGACATCTAGGCTAAACCTGTATGGACCGGTCACTGATGAAAGCCAGTGGCCACTGTATCAAATCTTTCCACTCCGGATCCAAATCGCACACTATCGCTTTCGCCGTGTTTACACCCCATCCCTGCATGAACCATGTGGTATGCTCCGTCGAGTGGACTGCGACGGAATAGTAGGCCAGCAACGTCAACGCGGCGGGATCTCTGCTCCGCAAGAGTTGCATGAACTCCTCCGTGAGGCCGATTGGCCATGTCAAGGCGACCCGCAGTTCAGGATACGCGGTGGTGTTGGTTGCGTGGTCAATCCACTCCAAGAGCATGGCGATTTCTGTGGCGACTATTTGCTTAGTTGATGGGCTCGCGTTGCTTGATTGCAAGCTGATTTGAAAGGTTCGAAGATGCTGTTTTATCGCGTCTAACAACTGTGTGGATGATGGTGTCACGACCTCCATGAAAAACCCCCTAAAGGGCCCTCCTCTGATGACTGGCTGTGAAGACGACAAGATGTTGCTCATCCCCCTCACTAGCAGGAATACATCGAGAACGTCATCTACTGTCGGTGCCTCGTGTCCCTCTGGTCCGCTCCTTTGATATGGGAATGTTGCGAAAGCGCTAATGAGCAATAATGACGAGGCTGCGAAGAGCGGATGGCAGTTGTCCGGTGAGATTTGAGTGAGGGTCTCTCTCATGCCGGCGATTGCATCAGTTTGATGTTGCGATGCATGAAGCGCATAGGATTCTCGCTGCTCCGGATGTAGATTTCCGAGGTGTAGGGCACTTATGGCGAGAACTTGGTGCATCAGAAACATGTAGGTGAGGCCTAACCTCGGGACTTCAAACTGCCAGATGTTGCTCGCGTCTGTCGCCCTTGGCATCGTGAGACAGGTCGCGGTGGAATAGTGGTGCATGAGCTCCAGATCCGTGATCCATCTGCTGAGATGAACCGGCTCCACAGGGCCTGTAGAGAACTTGACAAAGTAAGGAAACGGATCAGGGCTCGACGGCGATGTTGATGATTGCCTTTTCCCGCCTCCCACGGAAGAAGCATGGTCACTGATGAAGTCGGCAGGCAGGTTCAGCGTTGAGTCTAGTAGACTCGGCGGAGTGAGTGAGTGGTCTATCGGGCTGATTGAAGAGCCCGTCGTCTTGCGGCTGCCGCCCGACCCTTTGCGGGATGATACCTTGCGTTGAAGACTCGATGCTCTAGAATTTGATATGGCCTGAGAACGGGACGGCTCCCAATGCATACTGTTGGCATCACCTGGTTGGCTTGCCCCCGAGTCCTCGACGAGACTGCATGGGGTGTTGTGCCTGATGCAGGCGCCGCAAGGCTTGTTCTCATCGCACTGGGTGGAAACACGTCAGTCGACCGAGGCGCGATATGAGTGTGAAGAAGCAAACATGCAGGTTTAGTTGGCAAGAAGGGTAGTATGTACTTTAACACGTCGCTGCTTACACCTTGCACAGCCACCGCGAGACTTCTTGTACCCGAGGCGTGGCATATTTTCCAGCAGCAAGGGGACTTAAGGGGATGAGTTAAGCAGTCTTTCGACCACCCTCACCTCGGATTTCTCCCTAGGAGAACGGTGCGAGCAACTTTCTGCAATCCCGAAGAAATGTGAGCAGTCTACCCAGGCTGGGACCCCGGAAATCCGAGTGTGGCCTCCTAGATGACACCCGATTCTCTTCCCGGCTGGTGGTACCCCGTCCCCTGCTCCGGGAAGCTGATACGGCCTTGGCAGAGGAGAACGATCGGTGGTCTGACGAATCGGTTGGAATCCAGTGGCCGCCAGAAACGCCCGGAGGATGCAGGCCCTTTGGGTTCCCAGTGAGGTAGTTTGCTGGATTGTAGGGCACCAGGTGTGCGGGAACGCTGCTGTGGTTGGGAGTCAAGAGTTGAGGAGACCGAAAGCGAATTTGTGGGGTGGATGGGTGGTTGTTAGGTGAAGAAATGTAATGGATGAAATCGGGGTTTGGGGTGTTAAGGCCGCTTGCGGTCAGGGGCTTTGTCGCTTCGGTGGCCAAAGGAACGGTAGTTTATCTCCCCAAGCAGAGTGTGGTTGAGTTAGAGCCAAGGGCGTTACAATTGGCATCCGAACATGTAGAGCAAACCACTTGGTTTTATCATGAAGACGGAAACGGGTAGAACCAGGAAGCTGGGCATTGATCTCTCGGGGAGGTTGAACGATTACGCCCCGATGGGCTGGCTGGGGCCGGTAGTGAAGAAAAAAAAATAAAAAAAATCAAGCTGTTTAGCTGCGCCTTGCTGACGAGTCAACACGAAGCATGAGCGCGTGCGTCAGAAACGCTTCCAGAGGAGCCGGCCTACACAAATAAGGAATGGCGTAAACGTGGAGAAAGTGAAACGGGTAAACCCAGAATCTGGTTGTTGCTATTGGAGACTAACGGATGAGGGTGACATGGGAAGAGGAGCTGTAGGTATCCAGGCCATCTATCTATGTACTAGTAGACAGTAAGGTAAGTCGGTATGTGCGCCCTATGAAGGCGGTTTCGCCTGAGCATTCTAGTCGCGGCAGCACGGCCACTCTTTGGCTCTACTCTGCAAGGGTACCATGCCCAATGAAGAGCTCAATGTCGGAGTTAACGTGCAGATCCCTTCAAAGAACCTAGGAATTAGCATGTTCTATCGCTACATAAGCCTCCATTCATACGAAATGGTCTACGTAGGTTTCAGTGCGGTGCTATGCGGGTAGTTTGCTTCCAACCCAATCCCGACCACATCAGGGAATAGAAGTAGATGATAGCTGGCATTTGTCACCACACATTCTGTCAGATTTCTCGCTTGGTCTGTGCATACGTCGTATTGTCAGGGTAGAAGCTTGACTAATCCTCCTCATCCAATATCCGTAAGGGTGTTCAAACCTTTGTTTGGCTTTCGGGGTTAACGGGCTCCCATTTGTTCTTTACTCCACCAGTATCATCTACCCCCTTGCCCCTGTACCCGGCCAATCCAATCCGGTCCGTACAACACCATGTAGCTCATAGTAAGGCGGATTTCCCCCCTTGTAGCTCTTCTTAAGGGGGGGGCATCTTTACTATGTATAAGGCCGGGTTCTACTATGCTAATTTTGAGAGTCAAGGAAATAGTATCCATCCGAGCTGTTGCCAAGCGTATTTAAAGTTGACAGTAATTGAGTGCTCATGTGCTCACAGTCGCAGTTGGTAAATATACTGTTGCGATAGTTGGAATACGGAGTCGTGTGGCACTTCCAGCCACACGCCCGCCAGGCTGAGAGGCCCAAGCCTCCCAGACCCACGTGACAGGCCAAGGGGGAATATCCCCACCTTCTAGTCAACAACACTACTTTCAACTATCATGAACCATCGATTAGAACCAATTTACTATTATTTATTATTAACGAACGGAATTCCGTTTTACCCCTTGTGAAACCTATACTAATTAGTAGTAAACCTTATAGTTACTATTAATTTAGTTAACTTTATAATTACTACTCTGCTACGGATAAACCGTAGATTAGCAAGGTTAATACTAGAAGAGACGACTTCTTAAACTAGATACCTAAGCCTAGGTAAAAGTAGGGATTTCGTACTAACGAGAGAAGAAGCGAGAGTAACTAGGATCTACGGAAACTAATAGAAGAAAGCTTTTTTTCCTCGAATCTACTAGCAATCTGATTATTCGAGTAACCTAGGGACTGCTATGCTTACCTTAGGCGGGATAAGGTTAATCGTAGCTAATTATCGCTAGCAAGAGCGTTCTATTACGCGTTTTTAATTACTAGAAGAAGAAACCTACTGAATCGACGGTCTTCTAACCTCTTTACGCTATAAGGGCGAAGATTTATAAATCTTATAAGGGATAACAACTTCCTTAACTATAACTATCCCTTACGCGCAGTGCTAATTACAAGGCGCCTACTAGTTTCTTAATAAATCCCTAGACGAGGTACTAACCGCGAGGCGCCTACTATAAAAGACCTCCCTACTAGAAGAAGAATATGCTAAAAAGCAAGTAGAGACTATTAATAGTAATCTACTTATATAGCTATATATATACGCCTCCGAGGCTACGGCTTAGGAGAAATATACGTAGTTATAAGCGTTATAAGGCTAACTATCTACTAGATTCTAAACTTCTTAATAGTAAGGAGCGAAGCCTAAAGTAAGAAAGAGAGATTTACGAGAGAATCTATAATAGAACTTTCTCCCTACTAATTCGAGACCTATATATACCCTTATACCCCTCGAGAATATTAGTAAGAACGGCGCCGACGGAAATAAACGACGAACTAACGAAAATCCCCGATTTTACGATTCTTTCCTTTTAGAATCGTAATATCCCGAATCGTCTTTTAACTCCTACTTCTAAGCCTATATCTTATACTAATCGTAGCTAACGCTATTAAGGATTAGAATTCAAGATTCTGAATAGAAGTAATCCTTTTATACTATTAGAATAAAGCGAAATTTACGAGAAGGATCGCCTGCAAGTAGCGTTACTACTAAAAGCTAATTAACAGTCCCTATCCTATAGAGAATCGAAAGTATAATCGATCTAGCAGTATAAGGCAACTAGGCAATCGACCTTACAAACGCTAGCCTATAGCAACTAGGTTCCTATATAGGTTTCCTACTTGAGACCTATGAGAAGAGGAATCTTATAAGCCTTAAGCTATAGAACGAAGTTTCTCCCGATTTCGCCGACTAGTTAGAAGAAGACTTTTAGAACGTACCTCCCCTAATCCTACGATTCTTTAGAGACTATTTAATCGGTAACGGCGTCTACGTCGAAATAGATAGTAAGAAAATCTCGAAAAACGTAGCATTAGCTTTTAAAAAGGAAGAATTCTACTACTAGTTACCCTAAGAACTCGAATAAGGCGTTAAGAGATATCGCAACCTAAAGGCTTTAATAAAAGACCCCGAATTCTACGAAGAGATTACGAGACCGGCAATAGTAGCTAATAGTATAGGAGGAAGAGTCGAACCAACCCTATAGCTACCTCCTCTATAAGAATAATAATAGTAGTAACTACCGTACCGACCGCTATATCCTACGGTCTCTCCGTTAATAGACTTCTAACTATACAAGTTAACAGACCGTATCGGAAAGTAATTAATAGAATTCGCAAAACTATACCCCGACGATATAAAATATAGTAGCGATATATACGATATACTCGAAAAGAAGATGCTAGTATTCGTAGATTACTATAGAATGCTAGGAATTTATACCTCCTAATATAATAAGGTACTTCCCTTAATACTAAAAGGAATAGCTAAAACCTACTTCTACGCCTTGATTAAAGTAATTAACCTATAGCCTAACTTCGAGACTATAATTAACTAATTAAAATCATACTTCGAGACTAGGGAAAGGCAATAAGCGTACGTTACGTAGTAGAATATAACTACTCTTCCCTAAATCATTCGCAATAACCTTAGAAAGACTAAATCGGAGTATTTTAACATACTATATAATAAATTAAGCAAGATTTAGCCTGGTTTGCTATAATAGGATTATAACGACCGATCCCTCTATACCTAACTTCTATACGCTTGTAGAGATATTCTAGAGTATGTAATAGCGTTATTTATACCGGCTGAGACGTACGAGGGACTTCGTAGCTAATTAATCTCGTCGATCGAGACAGCTACCTATCTTAACTAATAATAATTTAATATAGTAGCTAACCTACTAAAGTAGTACTAGACCGATAGAACTTTTAACGGTCGAGGGCGTTATTTACGATATAGTCGTTTATTACGAAGTCGATTATTACGAGGAAGAAGCCGTAACAGACCCTTATTACTACTAACGCCTAAGAAGTACTACGTATATAGAAAACCTAACTGCTAGTTAACTAAACATACTATAGAAGAGAGACGAAAAGCATACGAGAAGTTTAAAACTACTTAATATGCCTAGGATATGTTACTTCTAGCATATAGCTAATTTCTCGTCTAATACGAGGGTTTCGATAGGTTAGACTTATAACCTACCGCCGAAGACCCCTAGCAATACTACTACGTAACTAAATAAACTAGTAAAAGTAACGAAGAGGAAGAGACCGGTAGCGATAGTTAATTCTAGGTCACCGCCTATTTTACTATAATAGCAATTAACGGTAATAGGATCGCTACGATCTTAGCAGACTAGTTAACTTGCTATGCTATTACGAAAGAAGACCTCTTCCGTAACTAACTAGAACCGAAAGAGCTACCTTCGCAATTTATACTCGAGGGATGCTACTCTGCCTAGAACTTCTAAGGGATTATGCCCGACTCGGGCATAGCAGGATTCTTAACCGCTAGCTACTTATAATTCGTAGCCTTATAACAAATTTATAAAGGAATTACGTTAAATACTATAGCGGCTAGCAGCGTTGTAGTAAAATTCGGCGATAAGATACTACTAGAGTCTATAAGGACTACTAAAGTACTAACGCCGTTTAGAAGCGTTAAATTTCACGTTATTAAGACTAATACTCCCTTCCTTATATGCCTAGGAGATATAGAC